CCAGAGTCAGCACCTCCAGGCTCAGCACCCGCAGCAGCACCAGAGTCACCAGTAACCTCGACCGGGTCAACGGCGTCTACCTGGGACACACCTGAGGGGGCAGGAACCTGAGGGGGGAGGGGGTCTACCGGGGGGGGAACCGGCACAAGGAAGTCCGGGGGAGGGGGGAGGGAAGGAGTGCGGTAGGGGAAGAGACGGTAGAAGGGGACTGACTCGTCGAACGTGACGTCCTGGGAGGACAGAACACGACGAGAGGAGGGGTGGTAAAACTGCCACCCTGGGGCGTCAGTGGGGAAGCCAAGGAAGACACAGGGAGCAGCACGAGGGGACAGCTTGTCCGCAGACAAGTCGCGGACAAACGCCCGAGATCCCCAGACACGGAACACAGACGCATCGCCAACCTTCCCCGTCCACAACAAGGCTGGGGACATCGCAGGCCGAGAGACCCGGGGGTGAAGGTTGAGCTGATGCGCCGCGTACCTCACCGCAAACGGCCACAGAAAATGGGGGGCAGCCGCATGCATCATGGACGTACGAGCTACATCCATGACCATACCAATGCGGCGCTCAGCAATCCCATTTTGCTGTGGTGAGTCCGGAAGCGTGAAGGTCTGGCGGATCCCCCGTGCACGACAGTAGTCCCGCAGAAGGCGAGAAGAGAACTCTCCGCCTCTGTCAGAGTGCAGACGCAGAACAGGAAAGTCCGAGCCGAAGCTCTTCCTGAGCTGGAGACGAGCCTCGCGGATCCAGTCGATCAACACCTCAGTGACCGCACCCTTGCTGCGCAAGGGGAGGACTGTGGTGTAACGCGAGTAGTCGTCAACCACCAACAGGAAGTAGCGCTCGTAACCCTGCCCGCGGACGGGGGCTGGGCCCCACACATCCATGTGAAGCGTCTGCAGGGGAGCCTCTGTCGGGGGGAAGTGGGAGGAGTGAGGAGTAGCCCGGAGGCGACCCTCGACACAGGGGACACAGGAAGGTCCTGGCCCGGAGGGGAGAGGAGGGAGAGACTGGGGAAGACCAGAGACAAGGACACGGGAAGCCATGCTCCGAAGACGGGGCAAGGAGGGGTGGCCAAGACGGTGGTGCCACAGGAGAGTCTCGTGAGACAGGAGGCGACAAGAACAGGGGGCAGACTCAAGACCTGACCGGGACGCAGCAGCAAGCACCTGACCCGACGCAGCCACCTGACCAGACGCAGGGACAGGAGGAGACTCAACGGTCAGGGTGTAGAGACTCGACCCCGGCCGACGCGAGAATGTGGCCAGGTGTCGGCCTGTGCGTGCCTCCGTGCAGTGGGTCACCCGCTGACTCGCAGGAGTGAACTGGTGAACCCCCACATCCTGCAGGTCCGCTCCACTCACCAAGTTCGTAGAGAACGAGGGAAGGTACAGACCCGATAGGGTGCCCGAAGGGGCAGCCGGACACGGGAGGACAGTGGAGAAGTGAGACAGGACAGGACCCCCAGAGGGGTCAGCAAGGGAGACCGCAACCGGCCGGCCGAGCGGCGTAAGGGTAGTGCGGTCTCGAAAGAAGGAGCGAGAAGCTCCGGAGTCAAGTGTGAAAGTGAGGGAGGACGAGGACGACGCAGTACCTGAGAGCGCAGTCTCACCAGTACCTGAGAGCACAGACGCACTGGCACCTAGAGCAGCAGCCTCACAAGCACCTAGCGCAGCAGTACCAATGCCCGGGTCGGGCTGGAAACAACGGTAACCCTCATTCTCCTCACTATAATCCACAACATACATAGCAGCAAGGATAGCATCAAAATCAAGATCAAAGATCGCTACACCAGCCCTGAGAAGCTCATCCCAGCGAGGGATCTCACTAGCCCCAGGGAACCGCTGACGCCAAGCGTCCGTCAGGCGGCCAAAGCAGCGCTGGGTGGCGTGGGCACCCCCACACTGCTCACCCGCGCGGTCGCCGGAACGAAGAACGTAGGTGCAGGGACCAGTACCCCCACCCCTCTGACGCCCAGCGTACCACTCACGAAGCTGCTGAGGCGGAGGGATGTCCCGCGAGCGCTGCTGCTGCTGCCGCTGCAAGCGCTGGCCACCACCACCGCCGCTACGCTGCTGGGTACCACCTCGACCAGCTCCACCTCCTCCACCACCACCGCCTCCTCCGCTGCCGCCTCCACCGCCTCCACCTCCGCCGCCTCCACCACCGCCGCTGCCTCCACCACCACCGCTGGCACCACCACCACCGTCTCCACCACTGCTGCCACCACCACCACCACCTCCACCACTAGTCCCGCCGCCACCCCCACTCCCTCCGCCGCCACCGCCGCCACCGCCACCCGCCCCCTCCAGCTCCACCCGCGCCCTTGCCCCCCTTGCCCTTGCTGGAGCGATGTCTCCCACTAGGGGCAGACGCCGCGCCGACCGACTCAAGACCAAGCAGGTCGGCAGCAGCAGCAGAGGCAACAGAGGGCAGCAAGGGGGAAGGAGAGCACCCCTCAAAGATGGGGGTGCGAGGGTCACCACGAGAAGCACCTACAGCGACTATGCTCTTCTCCGCTGCGAGGAGGGCCTTCTCGAGGAGGTCGACGGTGAGGGTGGTGGGACAGACTGCGAGAAAGTGGTCCCTGACGACGCGAAGGGAGTCAGGGAGGCGCGCGACTACGTAGTAGAGAGCGATGTACATGGGGGGGGGGTTCTTAGCGCAGAACTCAGCAGGAAGGGCGGCGCGGTAGCGAGTGTCACTAGTGCGGAGGTGCGTAATGAGGTCAGCGACAGTGGGAAAGGCAGAGAGGTCAGGAAAGAGGTAGGGAAGCATGAGACGGCTCAGTGCAGCAGTGGCAGGGGAGGAGTAGCGCGCAACTACAGCGTCGTACAAGGTCTGAGCACTCTTGTACTGACTAAAGTGCGCACGCTCAGAGGTAGGGAGGTGGCGACGCACAGCAAGACGTGCAGCAGCATCGCGGGTGGCCCACTTAGAGCGGACAGCGGGATCAGCATCAGCAGCAGGAGCAGGAGAGGCGCCAGAGGTGAGGTCAAAGAGAGAAAGGTCGTCAGCCCTGTCGCACTGTAAGAACAGCTGCAGGTCGTCTAACCAGACCTCAAAATCAATGGCGCGACCCTCAGCGTCAAAAGCTAGGACACTAGGGGTAGCCATGGCGACGACAGCGACGTAGTGCAAGCAGTAGGGAAAGAGCTCGCAGTGTCAGTGGGACAGTGCTCACCAGGCAGGGCAGGTCGTGCAGCTATGCAAAAAGGCGGCTCAGCGACCGGGCGGCTCGGGTGCACAGCGGCTCGGCTCCCGGGCGGCTCGGCGGCTGGGCGGCTCGGGCGCAGGGCGGCTCGGCTCCCGGGCGGCTCGGCGGCTGGGCGGCTCGGGTGCAGGGCGGCTCAGCTCCCGGGCGGCTCGGCGGCAGGGCGGCTCGGGTCCCGGGCGGCTCGGCGTTGGGCGGCTCGGCTCCCGGGCGGTTCGGCTGCTGGGGCGGCTCGGCCGGGAGATGCAGGGGCGGGGCCGTCAGGTGCAGCGGCGGGCCGGCAGGTGCAGCGGCGGGCCGGCAGGTGCAGCGGCGGGCCGGCAGGTGCAGGCGGCGGGCCGGAGGGTGCAGCAGCGGGCCGTAGGGTGCAGCGGCGGGCCGGCAGGTGCAGCGGCGGGGCCGTCAGGTGAGGCGGCGGGCCGGCAGGAGCAGCGGCGGGCCGAAGGGTGCAGCGGCGGGGCCGTCAGAGGCGGCGGGCCGCTGGGTGCAGCGGCGGGCCGGCAGGTGCAGCGGCGGGCCGGCAGGAGCAGCGGCGGGCCGGCAGGAGCAGCGGCGGGGCCGTCAGGTGAGGCGGCGGGCCGGCAGGAGCAGCGGCGGGTCGTAGGGTGCAGCGGCGGGCCGTAGGGTGCAGCGGCGGGGCCGTCAGAGGGGACGGCGGGGCCGCGGCAGTAGAGGCGGGGCCGCGTCAGGAGAGGCGGCGGGGCCGCGTCAGGGGAGGCGGCGGGGCCGCGTCAGGGGAGGCGGCGGGGCCGCGTCAGGGGAGGCGGCGGGGCCGCGTCAAGCAGGCGGCGGGGCCGCGATCAGGAGAGGTGGCGGGGCCGCGTCTGAGGGACAGCGGGGCCGCGAGGGAAAAGGCGACCCGAGGGGTCGCTAAAAAAAAAGGGCGCGCCTCGGGGCGCGCTTCGGTGGGCCCTAAAAAAAAACGGTCCTAAGGCAGGACCCGCTCTATACCATGTGAAGCAAGGAAAACAGGAATGGGAATGACTAAGTCAGAGTTGGGTACAAATACAACCCTAGAAAGCTGTACCCCATATGTGCTACCCCACTATAGCCTACAAACATGCATCAGTTATAATAATCCGACACAACCCTCTTTCTTTCTTCTAATTTTGTCACGGTTCGCTCTACGTGATGCAACGGGTGCTACGCAAGTCGCGCGAACTGATCCTGTAACCCGATTCTACACAAGGAATTTGATTTTCGCTCTAAAGAGTACATCGAATTCAACAGCGTCATTTGCATCCCACATATCTGGTTAACAATTCATACATCTTAGTAAGTAGCCTGGTTATTGTTGTAATACACTGGTAATGCTTTTCGTAGGAGTTAATTTATCCTTTTCCCAAAATCACGTGTTTAGGGTTACGATACATAGCAATAATTTACTTATTAGAAATTTACCCTTTTATACATTAAACGTAGAAAAATATATCCTTGTAATAAAGCGCATTTTCGAATATTTTTATTTGAAAAACACAATGTGAGGCATTTTCTTGTTTGTTTTGTATATCCAATATGCGTGTTACCGAATTATATTATGTTTAGGGTTATTTTATCTATTGTGGCATTTATTCTGAAATCATGTGATTCGTCAATGTCTCATTTCGATGCGGCTCGGGCCATTTCGATGTGCGATTGGCAAATGTCAGCTCTCGTTGCGACCCGACCCGTTCACGAAATTCTATTGGTCAATAATTTTTGTGATGGCGGTTCGGGTTCATCTCGTTGGTCAGGTTGGGGTCACTTTCGGGTCAAGGGCGTTTTTTCGCGCGAAATCGAAGACCCGATGGTCACTTGCGGGTCTCGAGAGGCTGCATTTGACCTGACAGGCACTTTGGGGTGGGGTTCAGGTAACTTGTAAGTCACCTCGGGGATCCCAAATTCGGGTGGTGAGCCTAGGGCCGTCCGAATTTTGGAGATGGCCTTGTTACGCCACCACTCGGTGTAGCTTAGATTCCCACGCGCTCGAGGCGCCCCCAGCATCAAGCCTTCCGCCCTGCCCCTCACGGCCCCCTCCCCGCCGTTTGCGAGCGCCTGCCTTTCACGTAGCGCATGGTGAGAAGCCTCCCGTCGGGCACATCACACATCCCAAAATTTGAAACGCCAAAATCACTTTGAGAATGATGGTGACCCCAGAGTCACCCTCACGGGGTGACCCACAAGTTCACTATGAGTTACCTACTGCCTACCCCCAGACACTGGCGACGTCAGCGACGACCGCCAACCTTAGCTCCGAACGTGTAACAGAAAATTAGACCAATCAGAAAGGTTTACAGTTCGGGAGGGTACCCCGAGGTTACCCAACTTTGGCGGGAAAGTTCATGGCCCTGCCTATTTTGTCGCTACTCTGTTTCTGCCAAGGCAGCCACGTACGGGAATGGTACGGCATTTTTTTACTGTACACTTCGTTTCTCGTGATGTCGAATTGATAAATTACTGTTGTTTCTTCTGTGATTCTCTGGTTACTATCGCATCGCTCAATACATCGTAAGTACAGTGATGGGTTGGATTACGTGGCACATATTAGTTCACCAACCAATCGGAGCTCTTCAACATCACCTGCTACTGCCTCTCCTCTCCCAGCACATTTCGAGTACTTTTTCTTATCCATCCTATTATTCACTCGTCATTCCTAAGGTCGTTTTCAGCTCCTGATACTCAGAGCAGCTACTACGAGAGCTCCAGGCCGCTTACTTAGTAGCAGCTTGTCGCGATTAGCTCTGATGAGCTTCTAATGGTTGTTAGGCTTCGCGTACACGTATAGAAATTGGGTTCTTTCTATTTCTAACAGCGACGTCATAGTCTTTGTAATATTGCTGTTCAATGACTTGCACCTAATGTATCGTAGTTCGTGATCGTATCTTCATGGCAGACTATCGAACACGGGAGTGCTGCATGACGTCTTCCCGACGTCTACGCGTATCGACCGAAGAATTGTCGCTCGTCGCGAGGTGAGTTGAAATGCTGTACGATGGGGTTTCATGATGAGCGCCGCTCATTCCGCTTGATTCATGGCGTGACTCTAATTTTGCTTTATTGCCGCCGTTTTATTTGTCAGCATCCAGGTTTCCCTCATGCCTTCTCCCTGTCACACGATTTGTTTCCTTGCAATTTGTTGCCTTCGCCGCAAAGGTTTTGCAGTCGCTGTTACCAAGACATTAGCTTCCTATCTGGCAAGGCTTCTTTTCCGGTGAGCATTGCATAATAGACACCTGCGGCGTGACAACGTTGTTTCCCAATCCATCAAGGTCCTCTATATGTTTCTTCGTGTATTGATATTTCTCCTGTTTTCACTACGCATTCCTCACTCTTACCCCACCCTCCCACTGGCTGAATGTCGCCACTCTGTGCAGAACACGGAAGGCGATTTTGTCACGTATTCGTGAGGTACGAACCTGCTATGTCGTTTGTTCCTGTCAGAATGTTATTTGTCTAGCTTGCAGTGGGGTGCTCAATAGTGAGTACAACCCCTTAGGGTTTGCCATTTTGTGTGTCCTGCTGCTTCCTAGTCCCTCATTCTTCCTTCCAATTCTCCTTCGTAAACCCTAACTCCTAGTTCTAGAGCAAGCCCACCTACCTCCTAGTGTGGGCCTAGGCTACTAAGCCTAGGCCCCACACCTACTATTCTAACATGGTATCTAGAGCCGGCATGATCCTGCCGCCTAGTTCATCGGGCCCACCACCTACTTCCACTAGCTTACTATTCGCCGCGCGCCCCGTGGTGCGCGGCATTGCATTTTCATCCCGCCACGCGCTTCGAACGCGTGGCGGCTTTTTCTGCCCGCCGCGCGCTCGGGTCGCGCGGCGGTTTTCCCGTCCGTCGGAGCGCCCTCGAGGGGGCCTGCGCGCTGCCCTCCCCGCTGCTTGTCACGGCGCCCCCTGCGGGACCCGCGCGGCGTCGCCCTACTCGTCGCGACGTCCGTGCGGGACCCGCGGGGCGTCGCCCCTGCTCGTCGCGACGCCCCCTGCGGGACCCGCGCAGCGTCGCCCTGCTCGTCGCGACGTCCGTGCGGGACCCGCGGGGCGTCGCCCCTACTCGTCGCAACGCCCCCTGTGGGACCCGCGGGGCGTCGCCCCTGCTCGTCGCGACGCCCCCTGTGGGACCCGCGGGGCGTCGCCCCTGCTCGTCGCGACGCCCCCTGCGGGACCCGCGGGGCGCCGTCAGATCCTGCAGCAGCAGCTGCCGCCGCCCTGCAGCAGCAGCCGCCGCTAGGCCTGCAGCAGCAGCCGCCGCCAGAGCCTGCAGCAGCAGCCGCCGCCAGAGCCTGCAGCAGCAGCCGCCGCCAGAGTCTGCAGCAGCAGCCGCCGCCAGAGCCTGCAGCAGCAGCCGCCGCCGAGCCTGCAGCAGCAGCCGCCGCCAGGCCTGCAGCAGCTGCCGCCACCGAGCCTGCAGCAGCAGCCGCCGCTCTACCAGCAGCAGCAGCCGCCGCCGGTCTGCCGCAGCAGCCACCGCCGCCCAGCAGCAGCAGCCGCCGCCAGAGCCTACTGCAGCAGCCGCCGCCAGAGCCTGCAGCAGCAGACGCCCCTGGAGCTGCCCGCCACTGCAGCAGCCGCCCCTGGTGCAGCCGCCGCTGGTACAGCCGCCCCTGGTCCCTGGAGCAGCCGACCCTGCAGCAGCCGCCCCTGGTCTCTGGAGCGGCCGCCCGTGCAGGAGCCGCCCCTGGCCCCTGGAGCAGCAGCCCCTGGAGCAGCCGCCCCTGGACCTCAGAAGCCGCCCCTGGACCCGGTACGCTCTGTGCTGCCCGTGCCTGTGCTGCCCGTACCTGTGCTACCTGTGCCTGTTGCTGCCTGTGCCTGTGCTGCCCGTGCCTGTGCTGCCCTGTGCTGCCTGTGCCTGTTGCTGCCTGTGCCTGTTGCTGCCCGTGCCTGTGCTGCCCTGTGCTGCCTGTGCCTGTTGCTGCCTGTGCCTGTGCTGCCCGTGCCTCTGCTGCCCGTGCCTGTGCTGCCCGTGCCTGTGCTGCCTGTGCCTGTTGCTGCCTGTGCCTGGTGCTGCCCGTGCGTGTGCTGCCCGTGCCTGTGCTGCCCGTGCCTGTGCTGCCTGTGCCTGTGCTGCCCGTGCCTGTGCTGCCTGTGCCTGTTGCTGCCTGTGCCTGGTGCTGCCCGTGCCTGTGCTGCCCGTGCCTGTGCTGCCCGTGCCTGTGCTGCCTGTGCCTGTTGCTGCCCGTGCCTGTGCTGCCCTGTGCTGCCTGTGCCTGTTGCTGCCTGTGCCTGTGCTGCCCGTGCCTGTGCTGCCCGTGCTTGTGCTGCCTGTGCCTGTTGCTGCCTGTGCCTGTTGCTGCCTGTGCCTGTGCTGCCCGTGCCTGTGCTGCCCGTGCCTGTGCTGCCCGTGCCTGTGCTGCCTGTGCCTGTTGCTGCCTGTGCATGGTGCTGCCCGTGCCTGTGCTGCCCGTGCCTGTGCTGCCCGTGCCTGTGCTGCCTGTGCCGGTTGCTGCCCGTGCCTATGCTGCCCTGTGCTGCCTGTGCCTGTTGCTGCCTGTGCCTGTGCTGCCCGTGCCTATGCTGCCCGTGCCTGTGCTGCCCTGTGCTGCCTGTGCCTGTTGCTGCCTGTGCCTGTGCTGCCCGTGCCTGTGCTGCCCGTGCCTGTGCTGCCCGTGCCTGTGCTGCCTGTGCCTGTTGCTGCTCGTGCCTGTGCTGCCCTGTGCTGCCTGTGCCTGTTGCTGCCTGTGCCTGTGCTGCCCGTGCCTGTGCTGCCCGTGCCTGTGCTGCCCGTGCTTGTGCTGCCTGTGCCTGTTGCTGCCCGTGCCTGTGCTGCCCTGTGCTGCCCGTGCCTGTGCTGCCTGTACCTGTTGCTGCCCGTGCCTGTGCTGCCCTGTGCTGCATGTGCCTGGTGCTGCTCGTGCCTCGCGCTCGCGCCCTCGTGCGCTCTGCTACTGTCTGCGCCCTCGTGCGCACTGTTTCTGCTCTCCCCCCCCCCCCCCCCCCCCCCCGTTTGCGGGTATGGGGGTGGCTCGTGTGCATTCCTCCCTTTGCTCCTCCTCCTCCTTCGTCTCCCACTGCTGCAGCTGTCGCTGAGGGGGGTGGTTGTGTGGGAGACTAGGGTTTAGGGTTTAAGGGGGGTGCGTGGGAGTGGAGCTAGCGGTGTAGCAGCGGGTGTGTGTCAGGGGGGTGGGACTGTTTGGGGAAGCTGCATGGAAGTTGCCGTACTGTTGTCCGCAGCACCTGTAGTCCGGGGCGCTGTCCCGGTAGCCCAGTGAGCTAGACTTCTACGCCAGCCGCCCGTGGGTCCGTTGCTCGTCTGCCGCTACTTTAGCCGCGGGGCCTGTTACTCCTGTAGTCCGGGCGCTTAGTCCGGTAGCCGCTGTGCCAGTCTGCCTCCTGTTGCCCGTGTGTCTGCAGCTTCAGCCGTCTCCTCCTATCTCCTCTCCCCTCACTCTCTCTCCTCCTCCTCACTTGCCCGTTGTGACTACCACTAGCTGTGCTCATAATTCTTAACTTTAAACTATTGCTTCTTTAACTTGTGCTCAGAATGTGTGGTGACATTGTGATCCACCCTAAGCTTGTACTGCTTTGCCTGCTCTACTGATTACACCCCACTTTGGCTATGGGGGTGTGTCAGAATGTTATTTGTCTAGCTTGCAGTGGGGTGCTCAATAGTGAGTACAACCCCTTAGGGTTTGCCATTTTGTGTGTCCTGCTGCTTCCTAGTCCCTCATTCTTCCTTCCAATTCTCCTTCGTAAACCCTAACTCCTAGTTCTAGAGCAAGCCCACCTACCTCCTAGTGTGGGCCTAGGCTACTAAGCCTAGGCCCCACACCTACTATTCTAACAGTTCCTGCTATCTCGTTTTTTATCGTGTGTTGAAGGAGCACAACATTATACATAGGGTAGTGAGGTTTGTTCAGGAGCTCTCCTCAGTGAGTATTATAGCGTCTACAACATGCTGTGTGTAGGGTGCATGTTAGAAAGTGGGTTTTTAGTAAAATTGTTCTGTAATGCTCTATTTAAAAAATGCAGATTGAAATGTGCAAAGTAATAATTACTGAAATCAGTTACCAGAATTTTACCGTAATATGTGAAATTGAAAAAACCATTTATGCTGGAATTCTTTGTTGCTTTCCTATATAAAGGAGGATTATACGGTATTAGTTTTTATCAAAAGTATATGTGGCTATACCAGAATTATGTTTTTTTTCCTGTAATTGTTTGCCAATAAACTGTATGCGGTCGTTCGTGTAGTGTTTGAAACATTCTGTAGTGTTGGCGATATATTGCATAGTGCGGAAGCGGCTCGCGTGTGATTCGCTCCCGCATGATGGGAGGGGTCCCCTGTGGGTTACCACCTGTGGGTGACCTCGGGGTCACCACGCGAAGCGAAAGCTGCAGAGGTGACCCGCGGCTTACCTAGACAAGGACCCCGGGGTATCCCCCCAGGGGGTAAGCTGTGGGTAATTTGGGGGGGAGGTTTTCGGCCAAACTTTTTTGGGATGCAGCCCCCCGTCGCCCTCATTTTCAGCTTCCCGTCGCCCACATTTCAGCTTAGGAGTCGCCCACTTGGTGGCTATAAATGCTGTCGCCCACATTTCAGCAGGTCAGTCGCACGCATTTCGTGGCCCGTCGCCCTCGTACCAGGAATTTCGAGACGCCCACACATTTCGATCCATTTCCCTTCCCGGCGCACTCACTTCCCTTCCCGTCGCCCTCGTTTCCCTTCCCGTCGCCCACATTACCCTTCCCGTCGCACTAATTTCCCGTCACGTCGACGTATTAGGGGCCCATCACCCACGTTTCCCTTCCCGTCGCCCACATTACCCTCCCCGTCGCACTAATTTCCCGTCCCCTCTCACACATTTCCACCCCGTCGCCCTCGTTTCCCTGCCCTGCGCACTAAATTCCATTCCCGTCGCCCTCATTTCCTTCCCCGTCGCCCACATTTCCCATCCCTGCACCCTCATTTCGCCTCTCATCGCCCACATTTCCCATCCCTGCGCCCTCATTTCCCCTCTCATCGCCCACATTTCCCATCCCTGCGCCCTCATTCCCCCTCTCGTCGCCCTCGTTTCCCTCCCCATCGCCCACATTGCACTTCCTGTCGCTCACACTTCCCTTCATCCTCCCTTCCTCTCATCCGCCCTTCCTCTCTTCCACCCTTCTCTCACATCCTCTCTCCCTCTCATCCGCCTCCCCTGTCGTCCTCATTTCCACTCGTCCCCCCTACCCTTCTTTCGCCACACGCCCTCATCCGCCCTCCCCCTCATCCGCCCTACCCCTCATCCGCCCTACCCTCATCCGCCCTACCCCTCATCCGCCCTACCCCTCATCCGCCCTACCCCTCATCCGCCCTACCCCTCATCCGCCCTACCCCTCATCCGCCCTACCCCTCATCCACCCTTCTTCTTGTCCTCCCTCCCCCTCATCCGCCCTCCCCCTCATCCGCCCATCATCTCATCCTCCCTTCTCTCATCCAACCTTCCTCTCATCCCCCCTTCCTCTCAACCTCCTTTCCTCTCATCCAACCTTCCTCTCATCCCCCCTTCCTCTCAACCTCCTTTCCTCTCATCCAACCTTCCTCTCATCCCCCCTTCCTCTCAACCTCCTTTCCTCTCATCCAACCTTCCTCTCATCCCCCCTTCCTCTCATCCTCCTTTCCTCTCATCCAACCTCCCTCTCATCCTCCTCTCCTCTCATCCGCCCTTCCTCTCATCCGCCCTTCACGCAAACATCCTCTCTCCTTCTCATCGCCTCTCCCTCTCATTCGCCCATCATCTCGTCCTCCCCTCAACTCGTATTCCCTCCCCTACTTCAACCCCCCCCCCCCCCCCCCCCCCCCCCCAATCCGCCATCCCTATCATCCACCCTTCGCCCTCGTCCACCCTTCCTCGCATCCTCCTGCCCTGCCCTGCTTCCTTCCTCGCATCCGCCCTTCCTCTCATCCGCCCTTCTCTCCCATCCGCTCTCCTTCTCCTACTCCCGTTCTCTCGTCCGCCCTTCCTCTCATCCGCCCTTCTCTCCCATCTGCTCTCCTTCTCCTACTCCCGTTCTCTCGTCCTCCCTTCCTCTCATCCGCCCTTCTCTCCCATCCGCTCTCCTTCTCCTACTCCCGTTCTCTCGTCCTCCCTTCCTCTCATCCGCCCTTCTCTCCCATCCGCTCTCCTTCTCCTACTCCCGTTCTCTCGTCCTCCCTTCCTCTCATCCGCCCTTCTCTCCCATCCGCTCTCCTTCTCCTACTCCCGTTCTCTCGTCCTCCCTTCCTCTCATCCGCCCTTCTCTCCCATCCGCTCTCCTTCTCCTACTCCCGTTCTCTCGTCCTCCCTTCCTCTCATCCGCCCTTCTCTCCCATCCGCTCTCCTTCTCCTACTCCCGTTCTCTCGTCCTCCCTTCCTCTCATCCGCCCTTCTCTCCCATCTGCTCTCCTTCTCCTACTCCCGTTCTCTCGTCCTCCCTTCCTCTCATCCGCCCTTCTCTCCCATCCGCTCTCCTTCTCCTACTCCCGTTCTCTCGTCCTCCCTTCCTCTCATCCGCCCTTCTCTCCCATCCGCTCTCCTTCTCCTACTCCCGTTCTCTCGTCCTCCCTTCCTCTCATCCGCCCTTCTCTCCCATCCGCTCTCCTTCTCCTACTCCCGTTCTCTCGTCCTCCCTTCCTCTCATCCGCCCTTCTCTCCCATCCGCTCTCCTTCTCCTACTCCCGTTCTCTCGTCCTCCCTTCCTCTCATCCGCCCTTCTCTCCCATCCGCTCTCCTTCTCCTACTCCCGTTCTCTCGTCCTCCCTTCCTCTCATCCGCCCTTCTCTCCCATCCGCTCTCCTTCTCCTACTCCCGTTCTCTCGTCCTCCCTTCCTCTCATCCGCCCTTCTCTCCCATCCGCTCTCCTTCTCCTACTCCCGTTCTCTCGTCCTCCCTTCCTCTCATCCGCCCTTCTCTCCCATCCGCTCTCCTTCTCCTACTCCCGTTCTCTCGTCCTCCCTTCCTCTCATCCGCCCTTCTCTCCCATCCGCTCTCCTTCTCCTACTCCCGTTCTCTCGTCCTCCCTTCCTCTCATCCGCCCTTCTCTCCCATCCGCTCTCCTTCTCCTACTCCCGTTCTCTCGTCCTCCCTTCCTCTCATCCGTCCTTCTCTCCCATCCGCTCTCCTTCTCCTACTCCCGTTCTCTCGTCCTCCCTTCCTCTCATCCGCCCTTCTCTCCCATCCGCTCTCCTTCTCCTACTCCCGTTCTCTCGTCCTCCCTTCCTCTCATCCGCCCTTCTCTCCCATCCGCTCTCCTTCTCCTACTCCCGTTCTCTCGTCCTCCCTTCCTCTCATCCGCCCTTCTCTCCCATCCGCTCTCCTTCTCCTACTCCCGTTCTCTTGTCCTCCCTTCCTCTCATCCGCCCTTCTCTCCCATCCGCTCTCCTTCTCCTACTCCCGTTCTCTCGTCCGCCCTTCCTCTCATCCGCCCTTCTCTCCCATCCGCTCTCCTTCTCCTACTCCCGTTCTCTCGTCCTCCCTTCCTCTCATCCGCCCTTCTCTCCCATCCGCTCTCCTTCTCCTACTCCCGTTCTCTCGTCCTCCCTTCCTCTCATCCCCCCCTCCTCTCAAACCCCTTTCCTCTCATCTTCCTTTCCAGTCATCCTCCCATCCCCACATCCGCCCTTCCTCTCATCCGCCCTTCTCTCCCATCCTCTCTCCTTCTCATACTCCCTTTCACTCATCCTCCCTTCCTCTCCCCTGCCATTCCTCGCATCTTCCCTTCCTCTCATCCTCCTTCCCTCTCATCCGCCCTTCCTCTCATCCGCCCTTCCTCTCATCCGCCCTTCGCGCTCTCATCCTCTCTCCATCTCATCGTCTCTCCCTCTCTTCCTCTTTTCCCTCGTCCACCCTTCTTCTCGTCCTCCCTCCCCCTCATCCGTCCTCCCAGGCTTCCGCCCTTGATCTCATCCGTCCGAGCCCCTCATCCGCCATTCCTCTCATCCTCCCTTCCCCACATCCGCCCTTCATCTCATCCTCTGTTCCCCTCGTCCTCCCTTCCTCTCATCCCCCCCTCCTCTCATCCTCCTTTCCTCTCATCTTCCTTTCCTGTCATCCTCCCATCCCCATATCCGCACTTCCTCTCATCCGCCCTTCCTCTCATCCGCCCTTCAATCTCTCATCCTCTCTCCTTCTCATCGTCTCTCCCTCTCATCCTCCTTTCCCTCGTCCACCCTTCTTCTCGCCCTCCCTCCCCCTCATCCGTCCCCCCCCCCTCATCCGCCCTTCATCTCATCCTCTGTTCCCCTCGTCCTCTCTTCCTCTCAGCCCCCCCACCCCCCCCCCCCCCCCCCCCCTCTCATCCTCCTTTCCTCTCATCCTCCTGTCCTGTCATCCTCCCATCCCCACAACCTCCCTTCCCCTCATCCGCCCTTCCTCTCATCCAACCTGTCACTCATCCCCCATTCCTCTCATCCTCCATTCCCCTCATCCGCCCTTCATCTCATCCTCTGTTCCCCTCGTCCTCTCTTCCTCTCAGCCCCCCCCCCCCCTCTCTACCTCCTTTCCCTCGTCCACCCTTCTTCTCGTCCTCCCTCCCCCCCATCCGTCCTTTCCCAGGCTTCCGCCCTTGATCTCATCCGTCCTCCCCCTCATCCGCCCTTCATCTCATCCTCCCTTCCCCTCATCCGCACGGCCTCTCATCCAACCTCCCTCTCATCCCCCCTTCCTCTCATCCTCCATTCCCCTCATCCGCCCTTCATCCCATCCTCCCTTCCCCCCATCCGCCCTTCATCTCATCCTCTGCTCCCCTCTTCCCCCCTTCCTCTCGTCCTCCTTTCCTCTCATCCGCCCTTCCCCACATCCTCCCTCCCTCTCGTCCTCTCTCCCCTGCTTCCGCCCCCCCCCCTCCTCATCCGCCATCCCTATCACCCACCCTTCCTCTTGTCCACCCATCTTCTCGTGCTCCACCCCCTCATCCACCCTTCCTCCCATCCAACCTTCCTCTCGTCCACCCTTCCCCTCATCCTCCCCTCCTCTCATTCTCCCTTCCTCTCGTCCACCCTTCCTCTAAACCCCTCCTCCACTCATCCTCCCTTCATCCCACCCGCCCTTCCTCCTATCCTCTCTCCTCATCCTCCATTCCTCTCATCCCCCCTTCCTCACATCCTCCTTTCCTCTCATCCTCCCTTCCTCCCATCCGCCCTCATTTCCCTTCCTGTCGTCCCTTATATCTTATTCCCCCATTCCAATCTTTCCTCCTTCAACCCTCTGTCCATGCCTCCTCATTCCCGCACGCAGCCAACTTTCGGCCAGCAACACCACTCACCTGCGGGCATCTCAGCCACCCTGATCGCCAACTATCGCCCCGCGTGCATGAGCCCGCCTTTCTGAGCCAGGTACGTGCTACCATCCTCACACCTGCCGTAAGTGGCCCACCTTTCACTTATCGTCAATTAAGAAGATTCCCCACCTACCAGAGTTTCCCCGTTGCTCAAGGACAACCGCCGTTTTCTGTAACGCACTGCCAAGTGTCGCTTTGTAAGAAGAATCACTTCTTCATCTCGTCCACCAGGGTTTGCCCCATCAGGTGCACCCTACCATACGTTCCGACCACACAGTTGCCCATACAATCATCCCCCCTCCCCACCTGCACTGGATCCCCTACTCACTGGAAAAACCAACGACTCCAATATCCACTCCGCCCCTCGCTTATACATCCATCACATCCCATCCTCATGCCCTTCATTCATCCACCCTACATTCGTGCCTCTCTACCAACCTACCACTCCATTCCCTTTCCATTCATTCCCATCCTTCCCATCCAGGCTTCGATGGCGAACCATCCAGTGTCTAGTGTGTGCAGCACGTTCAACCAGCGTCATTACACTGTCCATTGGAAACTCAGAGCCCCAGTTTGCTACCTGCGTGTGGGGCTAAGCGTGCTTATGCCTGACAACAAGGTGGCTACGCATAACGATCTATTATCAGTCTACATGCAAGCTGCGCCACATGTCACAGAGAGACTTATGAGGGCAGCAAGACACGCAGGTAACAATGGGGAATGTGGGTGTTTGTCGCTTGATATAGTGCTGTAATGTGCACTCAACGTCGTGGACGGAGTGTACTGTTCTGACAGGTTGATGTGCTTGCATGGTTTTGCGACAGGTGCGGGTCCTGGAGGAGAGGGCGCTGGCCAAGTTGTGACGATGCATATGGAATCCGACTCGAAGGCCTTCTGGAAGCGCATGGGGAGAGGGACCACAACGGTGGAGGATCTGTTAGCGAGGCCTGACCGATCACTGATAGGTGTAGAGTTCAAGTTTCCAAAATGGGAGCGAGGGAAAAATGGCGAGCCTAGAAGAGTGGAAGGAAACGGATGGGGCGGTGCACGCAACCAAGCTGCAGCAAGCAACCCGACGGTAGAAGGTAAGAACGTAATGAGATGCTCGTTCTACTAAAAACCTCCCTCCCTCTCCCAGCCCTGTGGGCCTGATGCTTGTTTCACCCATGGCACTGCCTAATACTAACACGAACCCGACCCCCCCACCACCTGCCCTACTATTCTGCCTATTATCTCCCACCAACCCCAATCCTGTTTCTGTCCCTATTTGCTGCATTCTCTTCCCCGTTGCCCATAAAACTGTCGCCCCCTGCTCTGCCCTGAATAGTAGAGCCTTTCCACCCTCCCCCGTCTGCCTTGAAGCCCTAACCCTGGGCCTAATTCTTGTTCCCCTGCTGCATGTCAACAGAAACCCCACCAACAAGTGAGGACGGGCCTGGGCCGTGCTTGTCGGCCAAGAGCGTGTATGGGGTCGAGGGGGTGAGTGTTGAAGACCCTTCACAACCGCATGGCACTCATTCGAGCCCCCAAACCGGTGGCTATTCTGAGGGGCCAAACAGGTACAAGCAATAATTGTCCTGCTGAAATTGTCGAACATTATATGTTTATGTGGTTCTAGACTGTAGTGGGTTACACCTTAGGGGGTACACCAGATTAGGGTTTCATATTTGTACTCTTGTTCCTGTTAGTCACACCATTCTCGTTTCTCATTTTGACATGGTATTACGAGCCTAGGTTTCACCTAGGACCGAAACGTTAGGGCCCACCGTTTCCGCTAGCCGCGCCCTAGTGCGCCGCCTTTTTCCTAGCGCCCTCGTGCGCCTCGTTCCTCGCGTCGCCCTTTAAGGCCCCTCACGGCCCCTCGCGTTGCCCCTTAAGGCCTCTCACGGCCCCCCCTTACGACCCCGCGCTAGCCCCGAACGGCCCCGTGCGGCCCCCGCGCTAGCCTCCCCCGGCCCCTAACGGCCCCGCGCTAGCCTCCTACGGCCCCGAACGGCCCCGCGCTAGCCCCGAACGGCCCCTTGCGGCCCCCGCGCTAGCCTCTCACGGCCCCTTAAGGCCCCGCGCTAGCCTCCTACAGCCCCGAACGGCCCCCGCGCTCGCCTCGAACGGCCCCCCCCCGCGCTCGCCCCTCTACGACCGAGCCGCGCAGCGCGACCCCAGCTGAACCGCGCGACCCGACCGAGCCGCGCCGCCCTAGCCGAGCCGCGCCGCCCTAGCCGAGCCGCGCCGCCCTAACCGAGCCGCGCCGCCCTAGCCGAGCTGCGCCCTCCTTACCTGAGCAGCAGGGCCAGTACTGGACTGAACTGCTACTGCTACTGCTACTGCTACTGTCACTGCTACTGCTACTTCTGCTTCTACTTCAGCTATGGCTAGCCCTACAGTTCTCTCGTTCGATGCTGAGGGCCGCCCAATTAAGTTTGAGACCTGGCTCGATGATCTGCACCTGTTCCTCCAGCTCACTGCCAGGGAGGATGTCTCGCTGTACGATCATGCACTAGGCAAAGTTGCTGCCCCTGCTACTGATGCTGACGCCACTACCCGCTCCTAGTGGCAGACTCGTGACGCCCACGCTCGCTTCGCTATTCGCAACTCCCTGCCTGTAGATGAGCGCGAGCACTTCGGCCAGCACAGGACTGCCCAGGCACTGTACACTGCTGTAGTTGCGCGCTACTCCTCCCCAGCCTCTGCTGCGCTAGGCCGTCTCTCGCTTCCCTACCTGTTCCCTGACCTGTCCGCCTTCCAGACAGTCGCTGACCTCATCACGCACCTCCACACTAGTGAGGCCCGCTTCCGTGCCGCTATGCCTGCTGAGTTTCTTGCCTCCAACCCTCCCCCGCTCTGGCTCACTCTCTACCACCTAGTTACCCGCCTCCCTGACACTCTGCGTACAGTCAGGGACAGCTTCCTAGCCCGCTGCCCCACTGAGCTCACCATTGCCACCCTCGAGAAGGAACTCCTTGCAGCTGAGAAGAGTATTGTAGCTGTAGGTGCCTCTCGTGGTGACCCCCGCACCCCTTTCTTCGAGGGTTGTTCCCCCTCCCCCCTGCTCCCCTCTGTAGCCTCTGCTGCTGCTGTCGACCTCCTTGGTGCTGAGCAGGTCGGGTCTGCGTCCGCTCCCAGCGGGCGCCGCAGCGGCAGGGGCAGGGGAGGCAAGGGCGGTGGGGGTGATGGCGGGGGAGGCGGTGGTGGGGGTGGTGGCGGCGGTGGGGGCGGTGGCGGGGCTGGAGGGGCTAGTGGCAGCGGTGGGGGTGGTGGAGGCAGCGGCGGCGCCGGTGGCCGGGGTGGGGGCGGTGGTGGTGGCGGCGGAGGACGTGGCGGCGGCAGGGGCGGTGGTGGTCGTGGTGGCGGCGGCGGTGGTGGTCGTGGAGGCTCTGGCACTGGCCAGAGCACGCAGCACCCTCAGTCCTCCGAGGAGCTTCGTGAGTGGTACTTACAGCACGGGGGTGGGGGGGGTAGCCTTAGCTGCACGTACGTCATCCGCACTGGTCGCCGCAAGGGACAGACGTGCGGGAGGGCGCACACTGCGCAGCGCTGCTTCTCTCGCCTAGACGACGCTTGGCGTGCTCAGTTTCCTGACGCTCCTGAGCTCCCTCAGTGGGCTGATCTCCTCAAGAAGGATATCGATATCTATGCTCTTGATTTTGATGTTATTCTCAAAGCCATGTATGCATTGACTATTAGTGGAGAGGAGGACCAGTACCTGTGTGTTCCGCCTGACCCAGGCATCCGCACGAGTGAGGCTGCCGCCCTAGGTGCTTGCGTGTCTGCTGCCCCAGGTGCTGGTGAGGCTACTGCTCTAGGTGCTTGTGTGTCCGCCACCCCAGGTACTACTGAGTCCACTGAGGCACTGCACACCTTCACTCTAGACTCAGGCGCTTCGCGTTGTTTCTTTCGTGACCGCACTGCTCTTGAGCCCCTTGCTCGACCAGTCGCTGTCTCGCTCGCTGACCCCTCTGGGGGTCCTGTCATTGCGACCTCCTCCACTGTCCTTCCTTGTCCTGCTGTCCCGTCGGGCACACTGTCAGGTCTCCACCTTCCCTCGTTCTCTACGAACTTGGTGGCGGGTTGTGCGCTTCAGGATGGGGGTGTTCACCAGTTCACCCCTGCCTACGAGCGCGTGACACACTGCACGTGTGCTCGGACGGGCCGTCACCTGGCTACCTTCACTCGGCAGCCGGGGTCGGACCTGTACACACTGACCACTGAGTCCCCTCAGGTAGCGGCGTCTGCGTCTGCGTCAGGTCAGCTGTCAGCCCCCTGCTCGTGTCGCTCTCTGGCGCACAAGACAGTCCTCTGGCACCATCGACTTGGTCACCCGTCAGTGCAGCGCCTTCGGGGCATGCACGCCCGGTACCTTGTCTCTGGTCTTCCTCGGGTACTCCCTCCCCTCCCACCCTCCCTTGCTCCTCCTTGTCTTCCCTGTGTTGAGGGGCTGCAGCGCGCTGCCCCTCACTCCTCCTTGTTCCCCCCGACGACTGCTCCTTTGCAGACGCTCCACATGGACGTGTGGGGCCCAGCCCGCGTCCGTGGTCAGGGCCAGGAGAGGTACTTCTTAATCGTCGTTGACGACTACTCGCGCTACACCACGGTCTTCCCCTTGCGCACCAAGGGTGAAGTCCCTGATGTTCTGATCCCTTGGATCAGCAGAGCACGTCTTCAGCTACGAGAGCGTTTTCGCTCGGAGTTTCCTGTCCTGCGCTTGCACTCTGACAGAGGTGGTGAGTTCTCCTCCGACCTCTTGGCAGCCTACTGTGCCGAGCACGGCATTCGCCAGTCGTTCACGCTTCCGGCCTCTCCACAGCAGAATGGGGTTGCTGAGCGCCGCATTGGCTTGGTCATGGAGGTCGCTCGTACCTCCTTAGTCCACGCGGCTGCCCCCCACTTTCTGTGGCCGTTTGCGGTCCGGTACGCTGCGCATCAGCTCAACCTCTGGCCCCGTGTCTCCGCTCCGGAGACCTCGCCCACACTGCTGTGGACGGGGGAGGTTGGCGATGCGTCACGCTTCCGTGTCTGGGGATCCCGAGCTTTTGTTCGCGACACGTCTGCGGACAAGCTCTCCTCTCGCACTGCTCCGTGTGTCTTTCTTGGCTTTGTCCCGGATGCGTCTGGCTGGCAGTTTTACCACCCCGCCTCGCACCGCGTCTTCCCCTCTCAGGACGTCACTTTTGACGAGTCCGTGCCCTTCTACCGCCTCTTCCCCTACCGCACTGCCCCGCTCCCTCCCCCGCCTCTCTTCCTCGCGCCAGGTGCTGCAGTGGTAGACCCCCTCCCCCCTCAGGGTGCCGCTCCTTCAGGTGTCTCCCAGGTAGACCCGGTTGAGCCTGCCGAGGTAGCTGTCGACTCGCGTCCGGCTAGGGGTTCTGAGCCTGAGCGTGCGGAGCCTGAGCATGCGGAGCCTGGGGGTGCTGAGTCTGGGGGTACTGAGCGTGGGGGTGCTGAGTCTGGGGGTGCTGAGCCTGGGGTTGCCGAGTCTGGGGGTGCTGAGCCTGGGGTTACTGAGTCTGGGGGTGCTGAGCCTGGAGTTGCTGAGTCTGGGGGTACTGCAGCTGACTGTGAGACGCCTGGAGGAGCTCCCTCTTCACAGCAGCTGCGTGAGTGGTACTCGCGGTACTGCAGCCTTCGGCGGGGTGCGTCCCGGGCTCGCGGTGCTGCTGGAGTTAGTGCTCGTGTTTCCCCGCCGCGGCGGGAGCCGCCCTCTTCCCCACAGCTCCGGGAGTGGTATGCTCGGCACATCAGTCTTCGTAGTGGGACTGCTGGTGCTGGGGTCCCCGGGGTTGACACTACTACTGGTACTGCGGACCCTGGAGCTGGAGGTGCTGCTGCTGCTGGCGGTACTGCTGGAGGTGCTGTTATTGCTGGCGGTGCTGCTGGAGCTGCTGGAGGTGAGGCTGGTGCTGAGGACCCGGGCGTTGGAGCTGCTGCGGGTACTGCTGACCCTGGTCATGGAGGTGCTGCTGCTGCTGGCGGTACTGCTGGTGCTGCTGGAGGTGCTGCTGCTGGTGCTGAGGACCCTGCCGCTGGTGACGCTGCTGGTTCAGGAGTTGCTGCACGGCCTCGGCCGTACTTCGTTCCACTCCTTCAGCAGGTTCTTGGTCAGCTTCCTCCTCTCGCCTTAGAGTGTCCGCCGTCTGTCCAGTCACAGCCACAGTTACCGCCTGCCTCCCCTCTCCCTGTGCCTGCTCCTTACACTGGTCCGACTGGAGGTCTTGCTGAGCGTCGTGAGCCTGCGTCACGTCCTGTGTCGCCTGCGTCTCGTCGAGCGTCGCCTGTTCGTGCTGCTACCTCTGGTCGTAGTGTCCAGTGTCAGCGTCCTCTCGCTGTCCCAGGCACTCACCAGATGGCACTTTGTCAGTCCACTGCTCCACAGCGTGTCTCTCTCCCGTCGCCTCCTGCGTCCTCTCTTCCTGCTCTTGCTGACCCGGCGTCCGACTCCCTTCGCGCTGCCAGTCCTACTGTCACACGTCTCCTAGCTACGGTTGTCACTGACCCTTCCTTTGAGTCCGCTGCTGCGTCTGCCTTAGTTGCTGAGCTGGTCGACTTTGCAGCTACGTGTCGTTTAGACTACGCTGCTAGTCTTGTTGCTGAGTCTGAGTCTGTCTGTCCTCCGTCTGTCGGGGGTGACTGTGCCCTTGGCACTGACGTCCTTGAGGACAGGCAGGAGGAGTTTGGTTGCCTTGCTGCTGCTTTGCCCCATCTCGTGTCCATGCTTGTTGCCCCTGAGGGAGACCCGGATGCACCAGACATCCCGACCCCACGCTCTTACGCAGAGGCGATGGCCGGTCCCTACTCCTCTTAGTGGCAGACAGCCATGGACGCAGAGATGGCTTCCTGGAAGTCCACAGGCACCTACGTCGACGAGGTTCCCCCACCTGGGGCGAACATCGTCAGTGGCATGTGGATTTTCAGGGTGAAGCGGCCACCGGGCTCTCCGCCTGTCTTCAAGGCGCGTTACGTTGCGCGAGGCTTCAGTCAGCGTCAGGGAGTTGACTTCTTCCAGTCCTTCTCCCCGACCCCGAAGATGACCACTCTTCGGGTTCTGCTGCACGTCGCTGCTCAGCGTGACTACGAGCTCCACTCGCTTGACTTCAGCACAGCTTTCTTGCAGGGCAGCCTGCACGAGGAGATCTGGCTGCGCCGCCCACCTGGCTACACTGGGTCGTTTCCTCCTGGTACCCAGTGGAGCCTCCGGCGGCCAGTCTACGGTCTCCGCCAGGCGCCACGTGAGTGGCACGACACACTGAGGACTACTCTTGCGGCTCTTGGGTTCGCTCCTTCTACTGCTGACCCGTCGCTGTTTCTACGCACCGACACCTCACTGCCGCCGTTCTACATCCTCGTGTACGTCGACGACTTGGTCTTTGCCACTTGTGACACAGCTGGTCTCGCTCACGTGAAGTCCGAGCTGCAGAAGAGACACACGTGCACAGACCTGGGTGAACTGACAAGCTATCTTGGCTTGCGGATCACCCGGGACAGAGCACGGCGCACCATTACCCTGACTCAGTCACACATGGTGCAGCAAGTCCTTCAGCGCTTCGGCTTCACGTACTCCTCGCCTCAGTCCACTCCTCTGCCTACGGGACACTCGCTCTCAGCTTTGCCTTCGGATGAGTCCGTAGAGCCGAGTGGTCCGTATCCAGAGCTTGTGGGCTGCCTCATGTACCTGATGACCTGCACGCGACCTGACCTTGCATACCCTCTCAGCATCTTAGCACGCTATGTCGCTCCCGGCCGTCACCGGAAGGAGCACATGGATGCAGCTAAGAGGGTGTTGCGCTACTTGTGCAGTACGTCGGGCATGGGGCTAGTGCTTGGAGGGCGAGACCGGCCTGTTCTCACTGGGCACTCAGACGCTTCTTGGGCAGACGACCAGGCTACTCAGCGGTCGTCTCAGGGTTACACCTTCAGCCTTGGCTCTGGCTCTGTCTCTTGGCGTTCTACTCGCTCTTCTTCTGTTCTCAGCTCCAGCTGTGAGGCTGAGATCTACGCCACGGCCATGGCTGCCCAGGAGCTTCGCTGGCTCACCTACCTGCTGACGGACCTTGGAGAGCAGCCTCGTTCTCCTCCAGTGCTGTACGTCGACAACAAGGCAACCATTGCCTTGTGTGACGAGCACAGACTGGAGCACAGGACGAAGCACATTGCTCTGCGTTACTTTCTAGCTCGAGAGCTACAGCAGCGTGGTCAGCTTCGTCTGCGTTACATGGCCACTGAGGCCAAGACTGCTGATGTGTTCACCAAGGCGCTTCCGCCTGTTGACCATCAGCGTTTTTGCACTCTTCTAGGCCTTGTGCCGACTGGACCTCACTTGCTTACTTCTTGACTTTGTCTGTACTGTGATCACTATATATATATATATATATATATATATATATACCTGCATGTTTACTCTTGCTAGGTTGTGATCATTGTACTTCTTGCTCTATTATAAATCTGCATGTGAACTGGTCTTGTGACCACTTGCTTGTGCTCGGAATTTGTGTGAAATCCTCGAGATCCACCCTGAGCTTGTTTGCCTTGTTTTACCTTGACTGGTCTTGTGACCCCTAGGTCTGCCCCACTTTGTCTATGGGGGTGTGTCAAACATTATATGTTTATGTGGTTCTAGACTGTAGTGGGTTACACCTTAGGGGGTACACCAGATTAGGGTTTGATATTTGTACTCTTGTTCCTGTTAGTCACACCATTCTCGTTTCTCATTCTGACAGAAATACTAACCCATATGTTCAATTCCACGTTTATTGATAAGATGTAGAGTAGCACGTGCAGCACAATTACAAAACCCACTCCAATGTTGCATCCGTCTTGATTTCTGTCCATGCAGCCTGGACGCTGGCTCCGTGACGCGCAAGCGTCGTTGGCCCCGTGGTTGGCCAAACCCACCAAATTGGGAAGACTTTCCAGAGGACATGGTGTGTCTTCTCGATCCGAGGGTGATGGTATCGTTGTTTTGTGGTCGCGCCTTAGGCACGTGCGTGAGGTCTGCGTGCAGAGGTGCAATGCAACTTGAGTCGTGGAAGCGGTCGTGGGCATGTCTTGGGTTGGTGTGGTTGTGCAATGTCTGCTCAGCCAAGGAGGAATTTTGGTCAAGTAGTCGAGTGAGAGATGACCTACCTCCCAGCAAGCGTGGTCCACGTAGTCCGCCATTGATGGGTAAGATGATTGGAGCATTCGCTCTTGCCGGGATTGGGTATCAGCAGATGTGGGAGGTATGTCGCACATTAGGCGTGCCGAGGCCAGGGCACGAAACATATTACAAGTGCTTGAAGGGCGACAATGGTTTGTGGAGTGTAATAATATCAGTGGCCAGTCAAAACATGATGCGAGTGCGTGCGAGCATGGCACTGCGTCCAGGTCTGAAATGGTTATGTGTTGACGGTAGGTATTCGCAGGTGAGAGAGGTGCGATGGTGTACCGTAACATGGTTGGATAGGGAGAGTCAAAAAAAGGTTCATTATACAAACACAAGGAAACACAGGGACGACCGGTCATCCGTTAGGCTCGAGCGAATTGCATTTGACCAGGGTATGGATGAGCTTAGTAGGGATGGGTTTTGTGTGGATGGCATCATAACGGATGAGGGCACTGCTTTCAAGAGTGCTGCTCGGGAGAGAGGGTTGAGCCATCAGACTGACTGGTGGCACAAGTGTGGTACAGAGGTGAGAAGTTTCCGATCAGAGTTGCAAGATGCTAAGCGGAAGGCTGTAAAGACGGTAGCGGAGGCCAGCTGCTGTGAGGATCTGTACTTGCTTACCAATAAACTGCTGCAGGATTGGCTGCGAGCTGCACCCAGAGAGGGCACGAGGCCACCTCTGCCCACTACAAAGAAAGAGCTCGTAGCTGAAGTGTGCACTCTGCGAGGGTTTGTCTTCAAGGATATGGATCCCGCCGAGGGGTGGTGGTGGTGGCCGAGAGGTGGTGGTGGTGGTGGTGGTGGTGGTGGCAGAGAGGAGGTGGTGGTGGTGGTGGTGGTGGTGGTGGTGGTGGTGGTGGTGGTGGTGGTGGTGGTGGTGGTGGTGGTGGTGGTGGTGGTGGTGGTGGTGGTGGTGGTGGTGGTGGTGGTGGTGGTGGTGGTGGTGGTGGTGGTGGTGGTGAGGGTCACCCAAAACGTTACCCTCCCCCAGTGCCGTCTCCCCTCTCACCCATTCCCTCTCCCCCTTATTCCCGTCCCGCCCCCCGCCCCATCCCCTTCCCCTTGTCCCGTTCCCGTTCCCCTCCCTTGCCTGTCCCATCCTCTCTACTGTCCCACATTCCTTCCCCCCCCTGCATGACCACAACGGAGCGCATGCTGCATATCTGTGAAGAGAGAGGTCGAGACCTCACACGGGAGGTGAGTCATTGCACCGTCTGCTCTACATTGCTCATGATGTCCGTAGTGCACATTCCGCTCGCCGTGGCTGCTCTGTCCAGCCCCCAGTGCACTACACTGACACACACTCCCAAGTGTACTGTCTGGCCTGATACATGCACTATGCACAACGTTTTGTAAACTTGTTTCCGTAGTACCTGTCTCCAACTCTCCACTTTTTGTGTACTTGTTTCTCCACCTGTCTCGACCCTCCCGCATCTCTTTGTGCTCAGTTCCGCAAGGGCCAGGGCAAGCAGCATTGGACATCAGCCAAGTCACCATCAGCCCATTCATCACTGCACCTACACTTGTGCACGTGTACCTCTAAGCGTGTGCTTGCCTCGCACTTTATCCGTGCACGTGAGCATGCCGTTTTTTCACAAGTAGTGGAGGCAAATGACGCAATGCGCTCCCCAATGGCTAGAAGCTGAGAAGTGAAACATGTCCTTACTCCAATCTAATAGCATATCCCACCGGGTTCTTCATTGATCTACCCATCATAGACGGATGGTCATCCAACCGCATGTCAAACTATTGCAATCTGTGTAAAAAGAGGAACACATGTACAGGGCAAATCGTACCCGATAACCATCCCTCCCTTGCTAACAATCAGTAAATTCCAGATTCTTGCGTGGCCACATTGACAATTGACCTAGCATCGTTTGACCTCATCCCAAAAGCAATCTCGTCAGGGATGCTCCATTCCAGGTTGAACCAGTCCACATCGCCCTGACTACATTTTCTGTAACCCATGCCCGTTGGCTCGGGGTAAAGCGAGCCGATCACGACGTGGATTAGCCATGGCAAAGTCACATGTGCAAATGTGTGGTTACCTAACAGTGCAGAGTACTGAATGTAGCATAAAAAACGATGGTTCTTTGGCTCCATAGGGTGACCTTGAGAATCCTCCTCCGTGTTTTTTCCCAAGCACACCCTCAGTATGCTCCCCACACTAATTCCCTGACTCCCGGGCCCCTCCTCATCCGACAATCCGAGCCAATGTCGCGCCCAGGCGTCAAGCACACGATGCTGCTTGGCATATCGCTCCCTAAACTCAGATATTGACCACCGTTATTTCGCATGTTGAACCTGCGGGGGCAAGCCCGTTGGCTGCACTACTCTTCGAGCTCGAACCCTGGGAAAGGGGCGTGTTGTGCTCGCGGCAACTGAACTAGTATGGGCTGTCAGGGTGCCCGTACTTGCCGTGAACATCGACTCCGGTCCACGTCGCCGACCCCTCTCCTCCTCATCATCCTCAAAACCCTCCTCCCCAACCCTGAATCCGAGCGTCAGCCGTCTCTGAGGAGTACGTCTCCATGAAGACATGGCTGATGAGGTGGACTGGTTTAGAGGGTGAGAAAAGGGAACAACAGGCAGAAAACAACAAGGGAGAGGGAGGGGTTAGGGAGTGAATGGGTTGGGAGGGGGGAGGGGGGAACTATCGGATTACGCAGGTCATTGAATTGTGTTGGCTGTGTAGCGTAGGGTGGGCAGGTCATTCACTAAACAACAGGTCCGGAAGCACCCTGCCCTGTCATAGTGGGGCATGGGAGGTGAGGAGAGAGGAGCACCATGCCCTGTCACAGTGGACCACGGGAGGTGAGGAGAGAGTAGCACCCTGCCCTGTCAGAGGGGAGCACGGGAGGTGAGGAGAGAGGAGCACCCCACCTGCACTGTCAGAGGGGAGCACGGGAGGTGAGGAGAGAGGAGCACCCCACCTGCCAGAGGGGAGCACGGGAGGTGAGGAGACTGGAGCAGCCCACCTGTCAGAGGCGAGCACGGGAGGTGAGGAGAGAGGAGCACCCTGCCCTGTCAGAGGGGAGCACGGGAAGTGAGGAGAGAGGAGCACCCTGCACTGTCATAGGGGAGCACGGGAGGTGAGGAGAGAGGAGCATCCCACCTGCCAGAGGGGAGCACGGGAGGTGAGGAGACTGGAGCAACCCACCTGCACTGTCAGAGGGGAGCACGGGAGGTGAGGAGACTGGAGCAGCCCACCTGTCAGAGGCGAGCACGGGAGGTGAGGAGAGAGGAGCACCCCACCTGCACTGTCAGAGGCGAGCACGGGAGGTGAGGAGAGAGGAGCACCCTGCACTGTCAGAGGGGAGCACGGGAGGTGAGGAGAGAGGAGCACCCTACCTGCACTGTCAGAGGGGAGCACGGGAGGTGAGGAGACTGGAGCAGCCCACCTCTCAGAGGCGAGCACGGGAGGTGAGGAGAGAGGAGCATCCCACCTGCCAGAGGGGAGCACGGGAGGTGAGGAGACTGGAGCAGCCCACCTGCACTGTCAGAGGGGAGCACGGGAGGTGAGGAGACTGGAGCAGCCCACCTGTCAGAGGCGAGCACGGGAGGTGAGGAGAGAGGAGCACCCCACCTGCCAGAGGGGAGCACGGGAGGTGAGGAGACTGGAGCAGCCCACCTGTCAGAGGCGAGCACGGGAGGTGAGGAGAGAGGAGCACCCTGCCCTGTCAGAGGGGAGCACGGGAAGTGAGGAGAGAGGAGCACCCTGCACTGTCATAGGGGAGCACGGGAGGTGAGGAGAGAGGAGCATCCCACCTGCCAGAGGGGAGCACGGGAGGTGAGGAGACTGGAGCAGCCCACCTGCACTGTCAGAGGGGAGCACGGGAGGTGAGGAGACTGGAGCAGCCCACCTGTCAGAGGCGAGCACGGGAGGTGAGGAGAGAGGAGCACCCCACCTGCACTGTCAGAGGGGAGCACGGGAGGTGAGGAGAGAGGAGCACCCCACCTGTCAGAGGCGAGCACGGGAGGTGAGGAGAGAGGAGCACCCTGCACTGTCAGAGGGGAGCACGGGAGGTGAGGAGAGAGGAGCACCCTACCTGCACTGTCAGAGGGGAGCACGGGAGGTGAGGAGACTGGAGCAGCCCACCTCTCAGAGGCGAGCACGGGAGGTGAGGAGAGAGGAGCACCCCACCTCCCAGAGGGGAGCACGGGAGGTGAGGAGAGAGGAGCATCCCACCTGCCAGAGGGGAGCACGGGAGGTGAGGAGACTGGAGCAGCCCACCTGTCAGAGGCGAGCACGGGAGGTGAGGAGAGAGGAGCACCCCACATGCACTGTCAGAGGGGAGCACGGGAGGTGAGGAGAGAGGAGCACCCCACCTGCACTGTCAGAGGCGAGCACGGGAGGTGAGGAGACTGGAGCAGCCCACCTCTCAGAGGCGAGCACGGGAGGTGAGGAGAGAGGAGCACCCCACCTGCCAGAGGGGAGCACGGGAGGTGAGGAGAGAGGAGCACCCCACCTGCCAGAGGAGAGAGGCACACGCGCGGGGTGGCGAGAGGAGCTCGCAAGGTGAGGAGAGAGGAGCACACCTGGTGAGGAGAGAGGAGCACACAAGGTGAGGAGAGAGGTGACGGGGTGGAGGTGACGGGGAGCCGGCGGATTGGGGTATGACCGTATGGTAAAACGGTGATAGTTGGCATGGGGAATGATGGGATTGGGAGAGAGGATGGGGAAACGAGGAAAGGTGGATGAGAAGTCGGATGGCATGGCGGAATGGAGCGGGGCAGAATGGCGTGGGGCAATGGCGTGGGGCGGAATGGGGTGGGGCATAGAGGGGTGGGGCGGAATGGGGTGGGGAAGAAAGGGGTGGTGCGGAATGGGGTGGGGAAGAAAGGGGTGGTGCGGAATGGGGTGGGGAAGGGGTGGTGCGGAATGGGGTGGGGCAGAGGGGAGCACGGGAGGTGAGGAGAGAGGAGCGTTCCACATTCCAGAGTGGAGCACGGGAGGCGAGAGGAGAGGAGCACCATGCCGGGTCAGAGGGGAGCACGGGAGGTGAGGAGAGAGGAGCACCCCACCTGTCCGAGGGGAGATGGCGAGGGGAGGAGAGAGGAGCACCCCACCTGTCCGAGGGGAGATGGCGAGGGGAGGTGATAGGAGCACGCGAGGGGTGGCGAGAGGAGCGCGCAAGGTGAGGAGAGAGGAGCATGCGCGGGGATGCGAGAGGAGAACGAGTAGGGGAACAGAGAGGTGAACGCGAGGGGTGTCAGGAGGATCACACGCGGGATGATGGGTGGAGGCCACGAAATGAGGCAAGACCCTCATTTCGCTATAAAAGCGAGAGGAGCACGTGAAGGGAGGCCAGAGGAGCACGCGAGGGGTGGCGAGAGGATCGCGCAAGGCGTGGAAAGAGGAGCATGCGCGGGGAGGCGAGAGGAGGACGAGTGGGTGAACAGAGAGGAGAACGCGAGGGGTGGCAGGAGCCGCTCATGCGGGATGGTGTGGGGAGGCAACGAAATGAGGCGAGACCCTCATTTCGCTATAAAGGCGAGAGGAGCACGCGAGGGGAGGCAGTTGAGTGGGATGGAAGGGAGCGAGGGGGCAAGGATGAGTGGAGGTCGACAAGAGAAGCAGAGGGGGGAAAGAGAAGCAGAGAGCGAAAGAGGAGCAGGGCAGAAAAAGAGGGGGAGAGGGGGAACAGAAGAGCAGAGGAGCACGCAAGGTCAGGAGAGAGGAGCTCGCACGGTGAGGTGAGAGGAGTCCGCGCGGGGAGGAGAGGGGAGCACGCGCGGGGAGGAGAGGGGAGCACACGCGGGGAGGCGAGAGGAGCACGCAAGGTGAGGAGGGGGAAGCACGTGCGGGGAGGCGAGAGCCGCACGCAGGGTGAGCAGAGAGTCGCACACGTGGGGAGGTGAGGAGAAAGGAGCATGCGCGGGGAGGGGAGGGGAGCATGCATTGGAGGTGAGGAGAGCGGAGCTCGCGAGGGGAGGCGAGTGTCGCACGTGCGCATGGTAAGAGGATGCTGCGCGGGGGGGCCAGAGGGGTGCGCGCGGGGTGGCGGGAGGAGCACGCGCGGGGAGGCGAGAGATGCACGCGCGGGGAGGCGAGAGATGCACGCGCGGGGAGGCGAGAGATGCACGTGCGGGGAGGCGAGAGATGCACGCGTGGGGCGGCGAGAGGAGGACGAGCGGGAAGGTGAGAGGAGCCCGCGCATGGGTGCACAGTTTATAGCGCGCGCTATAAAGGCGAGAGGCTCACGCGAGGGTGAGTTGTCGAGGAGCACGCACGGGATGCTGAGGGGAGGCCATGCGGGGAGGCAACAGACGCGCGCGCTATAAAGGCGCGTGCCGCACGCTAGGGATGGTGAGAGGAGACCGCCGGAGAGGCAGCAAATGCGCGCGCGGGGCGGCAAGAGGATGCCGCGCGGGAGGCGAAAAGAGCGCGCGCGGGGTGGAAAGAGGATGCCGCGCTGGTTCGGGGTAGGGGCGCGCGCGGGGAGGAGAAACGTGGGCGTGCAAGTCAGGATAGTGGGAGTGGCGGGGACACGACTTACGGAGAAAGTGGCTGGTTGCGGAGTGGTGAACTAAGCGTCGGAATGGGGCCCGACGGCCTGTGCGAGGAAGCGTTGGGAGTGGTGATGGCGACGGGGACACGGGGGTCGCGAGGGTGGCGATGCGTCAAGGCTGAGGACGATGTGAGGGGACAAGCGAGGTTGTTCCGCAAACATAGTCAGAAGCGGCCTATCGTAATATGCGCGTCGCCTTTCACGCTGCCCTATTGGCGTTTCTCTCGTGTTGCAACGGGGCTGCAGGTAGGCTTAGACGTCTGACTGTTTTTCCGTCCGGCGTAGTAGCCTCCCACACGATCCTGAATTACCAATTTCTAGGCAAACTGTGCACAGGCAGTTCCCTTCTCTGCTCAGGAAGGGGTGGTTGGGACTCTCGCTAGGTCTTCGTGTTCTGATCTACGACGCAACCTTTTTGGCATGCGACGTTTTCAGGTAACCATTCTGGCTCGGGAGGTCAACTTTGGGTTCGGTAGGCAAACTGTGCACACTTTGCCCTTTTTTTTTTGTAATTCAGGTCTTGGGCTTTAAACTTGACGCCCGATACAAGTGGCTTTGTACTTGCTATAAGACATGTAAATTTTTGAAAGTGTGTAACACTTTCCAAAATTGTGTATTGTGAAAAGCGAAGCGAGTTGTACCGAAGCAAAGGCCTCGGCAAACCTCTACTTCCCCCTCTTTTCGGTACAAAAGAGGGGCGAAGGCCATTTGGCCTTCACCAGGGCTCTTGCTAACTTTTTGGCCCGTCTGACGTTTTCCTAAAAAAAAAAAAAAACAAGAGGCGACTAAGTCGTCGTAGGGTTGCGAAGCGCTTTTGTTTAAAATGTATTTGATACATTCTATATATTTCATATCACTTTCATGCAATCTAGAAGTGTGGTGTTTCATGCTATTTCTGTGATATTCGGAAAAAAATATTATGCGGGAATCGAAACACCATCTGATTCCACCCCGAATATCAAACAACTGGGCTAACCCAAACAACTGATTCCATCGGTAAAACGTTACTCGTAAGCTATCGCGACGACGGAAATTTCACTTGCTTAGGGTTTTGTTCGCCCTTTTCATCTCTCGTTTTCTCTCGTTAGCAGAGCGGAGCCTACGGTGTGATATGCGCCTTCTACGTACCCATTCTCCACCTACCACTCAAAGGTCAGAAGCCTATTCTATATGCTTAGAACCAAGATAGGTGACAGTCAGTTAGACTAAGTTCTGGTAGTGTCGTATCCTGCCATTTTAATAGACTGCAGACTGTTTGAGCGTATGTTCTAGTATTTTTGTAGATACTTCAGGTTATCTCTTTACCTTTCTATGATTAGCTTTCGTATGTTTAGGCTCTCTGGATGTTGACATTTTCTTTTTTCCTTTTCACCGAACTAGTTCCTTTTCGATCTAGTTCATTCCGTTTCTCTGGTTCTTCGTTCCATACGGTCAGCACCTCATCAAGTGTCATTTTTTCCTGGCCTCAATGTCTTGGTTTTTGCTCTATCTTTTCTTCACCCCCCTACTCTTTTTACGTTCTTATATTTTACCTTCATCCAGTAGACGTTGTAGAACTCCTTCTGATTTTGTCCCCTATGCTACATAAGTTTTTTTTCAAAACCGTAGTTGATTGAACTCTCTCTCTATCTCTCGTTCGTTCTCTCTTTCTCGTTCTCTCTCTCGGTCTCTCTCTCTCTCTCCCTCTCTCTCTCTCTCTCTCTCTCTCTCTCTCTCTCTCTCTCTCTCTCTCTCTCTCTCTCTCTCTCTCCCTCTCTCTCTCTCCCCCTCTCTCTCTCTCTCTAATGGTCCGTGCATTGATAAATCAAAGTGTTACACATATGCAAGTATAGAGCTTAGAGAAACGAATTAACTGCTATCTAGCCATACCCATAGTGCCTATCTACACCTCCATGAGAGGTTCCAACACAACACAACAATCCCCAAGGTGAAGCTTGGACCCGACCCCTCCCACCGGGGGGTTCTCAGCTACGGCCGCCTGGCAGGTCTTAATGATGTATCCGACGTACTGTGCCCGCTGTAGCGCCACCGACAAGCGCTGCCTGAAAAGGTGGAGGAACCTAGCTGCATGGTAGGAGGTTGGTAAGGCGTTGAAATGACGCCTAGCAGCTGTGTCCGCCAGTAGTTTCAGAAACTTCGGGACCTCGGCACAAGGGCAGCCATATGTCTCAACCGCCAGAGGGAAGAAGTTGACGGTGTCAGGCAGGTTGGCATAGTGGCTAATCTTCTTGTCGGCCTGCTCCCTTGCAGCCCATCCTCTCCCCTTTGTAGCTTCTGGATCCCTGGTGCTGATGGGGTCTGTGATGGTGACATCACACACATAGACTGCTCCCGAGCTCCTGTCCTGCATAGTGAAATCCGCGGTCTGCTCCTCTATGGGGCAGAATGCTGCCGACTCTCTATAGACTATGAAGCCGGCGTCCTTAGCCATCTTAATGCACGCGTCCCGCAACTCGTTGTGGGTATTGATCCTATGCTTGCCGGTGCCACAGCGGAAGAGATGGTTTGGCAGCCGCGGGTCCTTGATCTCCACATGTTTCGAGCAGTCACACTTCCGAGGTGTGGAGAAGGGCAGCCCGAGCATGAAGCGGACGCTGTTGGAGAAGTGCTCTGGTCCTATACGGCGGGTGGTGTCTATTGGGATGGCTGTCAACCAGTCTCCTGTGCCGTAGCCGGTTAGAGAGAGGAAACGCTGTGTGTGGCCTGACAGGGGGTTCAGGTCCATGCGCCGTGTTGCCCGCACTTGCGTGGAATACCTTCTCCCCTGCACCCTGAACCCTAGCTCATGCTGTAGCCTCAGACCCGCTGGCTCGAGTCTCTCTTTGTCTAGGATCTCCCTTGCCTCCTCCGGCAGCTCTGTTTCGCAGAGTGTCAGCCACTAGTGTAGAGGCGTGCTGAGGTCTCTGGGTAGCAGCATATTGTCACGTGCGGCTCTCAAGGCCCCACCTGGTTCCAGTGGTAGTTCGCTCAGGAGGAGGGCGGCCTGCGTAAAACTAGCTAGGAAGCCGTAGGTGCCTTCTACGGTTGGGTCTGTCAGATTATTATAGCTGATGCATGTTTGTAGGCTGTAGTGGGGTAGCACATAAGGGGTACAACCCAATTAGGGTTGGTACTTGTACTGTTTTCATTTCATAGTTGATCATTCCTGTCTCATATTCTCACAGGGTCTGCTAGTCCAATGCCGCCTAGGGAAGGGGGCAGTGATGATTGCTCCCGGACACGGCTCTGTTCTGCGCCATCCGTTGGAAAACGTGTGCCACACGCTGTGAGAAGGGTGACCAGCAGGTCCTGACCCCATCGTGACCACGTGTCACGGTCTAGGAGATGCAGTGGGGTGGTCCGTGTGAGATATGCCACTCTACGTGAAATGCACCGTGTTAACAGGAGGGCAGCGACCTGCGGGTCCATTCGTTCGAGGAGTGGTAGCGGTTTGGACATGGACTCGAGCTGGGCGGAGACAAAGGCGGCGGCTTCTGACGAAGTCCCTAGGAAACTGCCCAAGAGTTTCACGCCCTCCTCACTAAACGGTACACCGGGCGGCAGTTCTACTGCTGTGTCTACCGGCTGATTGCTCCATGCGGCGCATTTGGCGGGGTTGTGACGTAGTCCTATTTCCTCCAGTTGGATGGTGAAGTGGGTAAACGCTCCTACAGTATCGCGCGGGTCTCCCTAGAAACTCACATCATCGGCGTATGCTAAGCAAAGTACGTTCGGGTAAGCTGATGCTGTCGCTTTCAGGGCTGGATGGATCCCAGCCGCGAACAAAAGCGGACCTAAGGGGTCCCCTTGTCGCACTCCCCGTTCACTTGTCAGTGGCTGGCTATTAAAACCGGCGTCTAAAAACAGTGATGACGGATTGCCGTATGTTAGTTTGACCAGTGGGAGTAGGGGGGCGAGTGATGGGTTATGTAGCGCTGTAATAATGGCTTGGCGGCTTATGCTGTTGAAGGCGTTGGAAATGTCGGTCTGCAGGATTAGGCAGTTGGGATGTCCGTCGATGTATGCGCGTGAGCTGTGAATGATTGCTTCCGCCCCCCCTGGCATCGCTACCCCGTGCTGAAGCGGTAGAAAAAAGGTCTGCGCTGCTTCACCCAGTGCTGACAAGGCCGCCTTTGCTGCCAATCGCAATCGGCCGTGCCCCCCCATCTGGCTTTGCCAGGGCAATCTGCCTCGAGGACGTGAGCAGTTGTGCCATGGGCGGTGGCAGAGTTCCCCGTAGAATTGTGTTCACTAAGGCGTGCAAATGGGTAGTGACGAATGCATTTGTCACTGCCGCATCGCGTATGTGTTCAAACACCATCCCACTCAGTCCGGACCCCACGCCATTCTCGCTACGGCTAAGCAGCTTCGTAAAATCTGCGTACGGAATTTCGAGGAAAATTGGTTCGGCGATGACTGGCCAGGTCAGTGGTTCCGGCCCGGCAGGTGGGTGTTTGGTTCGGAGTTCCTCCAAAATCTCGGAGCTCGCCGTGCAGACTTGATTTGACTCGAGCGCCAACACGGCGCGGCGAAGGCTTCCCTTCTTCGCTAGGCCTTCTGCCCTGCTGACGATGCCGAGAGTGTCGGGTTGGTGACGTGGCGGAGGCGGGGTGTTGACTGCTTCCACCGCCTCCAGGTACAGTTGCTGCCATTCGCCGCGTTGAAAAGCGCGGAGGCGGGCCTTGATTTTTGGCCAGTCCGGTCGTCTCGACGAACCCTGCCGCAGTGTCAGTCGTGGGAGAAAAAGCAGTAACCGCCAACCTGCGACTGAGTCTGGGCTTCGTGAGAGGTGCAGAAGGGGTGCCAGTATTGCCAGCGAGAAAATCTCACTCAAATTTGGCGGTAGCCATCGTAACAGAGTCGGTTGATGGCTGTCGCAGAGCGGGGCGATGTCCCAGTTCGCCACTTCTGCGAATAATTCGGCCCTCGCAGCCAGCTCTTCTGGCGAGTAATAGCGCGGGTTTTGGGACTGTCGGGCCGCATGTGCCTGACCCCTCGCGGTTCGATTTCCTCGCCCCCGGCTCGGGGTCTGAGTGGGCGTCGGGGTTGGGATGGTGACCGTCCGATCCCCATCCTGCTGCTCTCTCCTTCCTGATTGCCCACCCGTTCCGCTCTGAGTCACTCCACCACGTCTCCCCATCTGTTCTCTCACCTCGTCTTCCCCTTCCTCCTCACTACTACTG